CACTGGCGCCACCATCAGTAGACAATGCAGGTGAAGTGTCTTGCCCAAGGACACAACGACAATGAAAGTCGGAGTCGGGGCTTGAACCGTCAATCCTTCAATTTTAGGGCCAACTCCTACATCCAACTGTCGCCCCAAGTCTATACCCCCCTTTCAGAGACATAGCCTTGTCTATGTCTCTGAAAGGGGGGTCGTTAGAGGGAATTGTTGGCCTGGCTGAATAGGCGAGGTCTTCTGTTCCCCCAATCCCCTAAATCCTCCCTACATCCCTTGTAGGGGCTCATCCTCCCAGGACGGAGTCTCTGGCACCTCATCCTCTGTTCCCCATTGTCTGAGACATTCATTGAGGATGTCTCTGTTGGAGCCTTGTCCTTGATGTACTTATTGATCTTGGAGGTTCCATCCTGGATAGTGGCTCTTATGCTCATTAGTCCTCTGCCTCCTTCCTTACGGCTGGTGTACATCTCAGGGTGCTGGATTTGGGGTGGTACCCCCCGTGCATGATTAGGAGGTTTTGCGTCTTAACATCTGTGGCCTGTACCTCCTCCTTTGGCTAGCTTATTATTCCTGCAGGGTATCTGATTACTGGTAGAGCGTAGCTATTTATTGCCAGAGACTTATTCTTGCCATTGAGCTGGCTCCTTAGGACATGCCTTACTCTTTGGAGGTATTTGGCCGTAGCCGCTTTCCTTGTTACCTCTTCAAGGTGGCCATTTGCTTGTGGTATTCCAAGGTTCTAGTAGCTGTCCTTAATGTCCGCTATTGTTCCTACTGGGAGTGATACCCCCTCTGTGTGGACTACCTTCCCTCTCTTAGTTACCATCCGACCACACTTCAGTAGTCCAAACGACATCCCGATGTCTGTGCTGACGATCCGGGTGGAATGGATCAGTGAGTCAATGTCTCGCTCATTCTTAGCCTACAGCTTGATGTCTTTACAGTCTTGTTGATTATTTAGCTGAGGGGGTTCAGACCAATGCAGAACAGTAGTGGGGGCAGCACATCTCCTTGGTATTTGCCACATTTGATGGAGTCTAAGTATCTTGCCATTGGCCTCAAGGGTGGTTTTCCACAACCTCATTGAGTTTGCAATGAAGGCTCTTAGAGTCCTGTTGATGTTGTATAACTCCAAGCATTCAAGGATCCAAGTGTGAGCATTGAGTCGTAGGCTTTCTTGTAATCAATCCAGGCAGTGCTTAGGTTAGTGTTTCAGGTTCTGCAGTCTTGAGCGACCGTTCTATCTACCAGGAGTTGGTGTTTGGCACCTCTGGTGTTTTTGCCAATTTCCTTCTTACCACAACTAAATATGTAGTTACATTGTAATGTAATGAAGCATAAATGCATATTTTCCTTAATTTTAGGGTATGTAAACATCTGGTTTTATCTGTATTGTCAGTGTGTAACCAAATCTTTAGCAGAGATCAGGTTAAGTATGATGCAGCATCGGATGTGCTGGGGTGTTGCAGTTGTAGCCATTCAAAATTTCCCTAATT